CCATCTGCGCCACAACTCAATCTAATGCAGCATTAGTGAGGGACTAGCAGATGACGAACTTATCACACCTTTAAACAGGACCAGTAGCGGCGAGGGGCAGAAAGATACCAGGGCGAGGGAGAGGGACAAAAGTGAGCTAAACAAGGTGACTGGCCGCTGGTTGAGATAGTCATCAACAGAGTTCGGCGGACCAAGTCGCAGTGTCGAGCGAGGGACAGAAAGATACTAAGAGCGAAGGAGAGGGGCCAAAGTGAGCTCATCAAGGTGACTGCTGGTTGAGATAGTTATCAACAGATTGCGGCACTCCAGGGCCGCACAAATTATATCATGCTCAGTGCGTTGTCGTAAGGCGGGATACATCACTCACCGAGTGCATTGTTGTAAGGCGGGATACATGATCTCTGCACAGATAGAGGCATGCCCTGGCGCATCAGATAGCATGCCCTGGCGCATCAGATATTGCCTTTTTGGGGGGACCGGCGTCAGGTACTGATATCCAGATGAGGTCAAGTTTCAAAGGTCCTCACCTGAATATGGTCAAGGGCTCGTCAGGATTGGCGCTCTTTGCCAGGCACGTGTAATCCTTGAGGTCTTTGCAATTTGTTTGTGCTGCCTTGCCCCCTTTGCCCTCTCGACGATAATTTGTGAGCCCACTCCCACCGAACATTCCTGTGACTCCAGACATGCCTTTGTTGCAGACTCGCCAGCCACGGCCCCCAACTCCAGGACGAAAACCGTTCTCTTCGGAGGAGTCGGCGATTCTCAGACAATACCTAGAAGATTTTCGTGTCAAAACGAAGGAAGAAAGAAAGAAGCTGCTGATGTATGAGGTATACAGACTCATGAAGGCCAAGGCACCCCCCCTGCTTACAGAGGAGCAGTGGAAGGAGAGGAAGACGGTGGGTGCTTGCTAGTCATACTGCTGCTCATTTGACGCTTTTGCCATAGAAGATCAAAGAGTGGTTTCAAAACCATGGAAGATGCATCAGGATGCCGAAGTTTGGATATGTCAAACTCATTTCCACCAGATATGTAGTTGCGCACCTGCGCCAGGAGCAAATACATGAGGTCGTGACTCGGCTCGCAAAGGGCACGCCACCTGGGTCAAGAGTGTTTCTTGCTAAATACCAACAAGGCCTAAAGGAAGTAATGG